CAATGAGCCCAAACACAAAGCCAAGGAAACTCTCAGTTGGTTTCAGAGAAAGAAACTAAAGCTGCTGGAATGGMCCAGCCAATCACCTGACCTGAATCCAACAAAAAATCTATGGTAAGAACTAAAGATCAGAGTTCATAGAAGAGGTCCACAAAACCTTCAAGATTTGAAGACTGTTTGTGTGGAAGAATGGGCCAAAATCACACCTGAGCAATGCAGGCCACTAGTTTCTCCATACAGGAGGTGTCTTGAAGCTGTCATTGCCAACAAAGGCTTTTGTACAAAGTATTAGATAAATTTCAGTAAGYGTGTTCAATACTTTTTCCCTGTGCCATTCCACATTATTACAAATAACTTCATTTCTGGACATTTATGGTTTGATTTCTTTGTTAAGTATGGATCACTTGGGTTGTTACCAACATCTGGTGAAAATTTCATGTCATTAGCACCTCTTGTAATATATTTACTGAGAAAAATGGTGACGTGTTCAATTCGTATGTTAAGTAGCTTTTATATACGGTGTCTCATTTTCTTAAGCAGCCAGAGGAGCAAAAAAGCTAAATAATCCAGAAGACACTTCCTAAGCAGTGAATAGAAATTATTCTAGTGGAAATAGCTAATAGTGTTGGTATAGTGGTCACAGAAAGAGACCCTTAAGTACACAGATAATTAGGGTAATAGTCTTTTCTCAGGCTCCATTCACTGCTTAAAGAACTGTCAGATGAGGCAATGGAAGAGTGGGCTCACACTCAAAACCACATTCAACATTAAGCTTTCTGTACCTGTGTCTAGCATAGCCCTCCATCAGACAGAGGCTAAAGCAATGCCTTTAAAGGGTGGTTAGCACCTCTGTATCTGGGAAGTATAAATATTTGATGGAGAGATTCTAGTGGTGCATGCATATTAGCAGGACTCTCCTATAATATGAAACCTTCAGAGACTTCTTGTCACTACAATGCTGCTTTATCTTGATCACAACTGTCATTACTTTTGCAACAGCTACATACTGTTTTTTTTTTTCCATGTGCTATCCAGCTATATAGAAACACATTGAAAGGATGAATAAAAAGCCTATCCAGACTTATTTCTTAACATACTAGAAGAGTAATGATACATTCATAGAAACACAGTCTGTTATAAACAACTTTAGGCAACTGGCGTGTCCCAAATACGGCTGTTGAAATAAGATTAGGAAGCCTAATCCCATTCTTTCTTTGAGAAATATCCAGGTTCATAACAAAAATTATAAAGGTAATCTAATTCATAGCAGCAGATGCTGCTCTTAAACTGCTATTTACAGTTACAACAACTATCACCTACTCATGTAATATTATCCTTTGAATGTACTCAAGAGGTATTATTTGAATGTTCTGCTGGGCAACAAAGCTTCCTGCTGGTCTCTTGCAAGGCTTCAGGTAGTCACACCCTGTTTTTCAAGTATTTATTGTAATTGTGTAAATCAAGTTCACATCAAAACTCCTTTTTTTCTTAGAATTTCAATAAAAAGGCACGTGTTGAAAAATAAGTCCTCTCGTATTTAGATTAAATTGTGAATAGTACTAAAGTTGTAGTTTTTCATTGAGTTATCACAAGTTAGACTGATTTATTTCTTTGTTCTTGTGAAAAGAACATTGAATTGGGAACCTAAATGAAACAAGATTTTCTGGATTTGTTGCTGACTTTAAGGAACTACACCACAGCTAAGTTTACACTGTGGAATATCTGACAAAAAATGTAAACATACACCCAAGTCGATTGTGTTCATTTTATACAAATACAATCTTCAAGGGTCACACTAGAATTACTTTTGGAGTCCTCAAGCCTAAATATCAATACATCTCTATCTACTGAGGAGTAAACTGTTGGTTCTTTATTTTCTTATAGAACTTTTTTTTAAACTTTTTTAGCAACAAGTACGAAGGTTTATGGATCCATGAATCTTCATACTTCAGATGAACTAATCATGCACTCCTGCAAGCCTCTCATCATACGCAGATAACTAAACATCACTGCTACATTCGTACTAAGGGCCTGTGTATTTGATTTTCTTTTCTTCATTAAATCCAGTTAAAAATAAAACAAAACAAGGAACAAATATAAACAGCTACTTGTCTGAAACACTGGTGATAACACCCAGTCAACCATAGCTAGTTTGCTGACAAAGTTTTAGTTTTCACAGCGAAGAGATTGTAGCCGAGCTGAACAACTTCAAAAAAAATGACTGTTTTATAACATTCAAGATCCCCTCTAAATTTACATTATTTTCCATAAATATTTTAAGGCTCTAAGAGCAGGCTTTGGTGCCTACATTAAAATCTCATATTTTTTCCCTCCACACACTAAGTACGGTTACTTGGATTACAACACATTTCAACACAGTTATCTATAACACATCTAAATGATTTTACAAATTGGTAGATGCCCTTCAAAACTAACAAGTCTTAGGTAACATCTATTTAAAATTTGATAGTTTTAATAACATCCCCAGTGATGAAAGGTGGTGAGAAGGTAAAAAATAAAAAAATAAAAATACCGGTATTGATGTGTGCCCCTACACATCAGGCTTGACTAAATCTTTCTGATCCTAAACAGGTTGAGTCTCAAGAAACATTCATCAAAATGGGGTAAAAAAAAACTGAACATGATCAAAACTAAATTTGTTCTAAGGTGATCAATAATCTTTACGCTGAATGACTGAAAAAGCACAGTTAATCTAAACTCCACCAAGCAGCTCAAAGGACAACATCACCGTGACTGATGCCGCCATCATTTCAACATTTTATCACATGCACACAGGCACATAACACGACAAATGCTACAGCTTCTCCTGTCTGACAAGCTCATTTAAAGATCAATCAATGCTGCTGCAAGCCAAATTGTTGACCGCTGTCAGTCTCTCGCACTAGGTCTAAAATAACCAGCCGTTTTGTGCTGTTTAAACATAAAAGCTTTTCTCTCCCATTATTACTGTATTTAAACATTAGCCCACTCCTTTGTCTCCTTTCCTCTGCATTCACATCTGCAAATGCTGATATTTTAATAGCTTGTGTGGGGTGTGGCTTATAGCTGCACTCTTGCATATAGCAGTTAACAGAGGGGGATGGGAGCCAGATTAAAGGTATCTATACATCAGGAGTACTTGCCTAAACAAACTAGGCAGTACAGTCTCACATGTAAATGCAGTCTTTGTTTGCTCCTCCCGTGTCTATGTTGATGACTGAGACTGGTTTATTATTATGGCATGCAGTAAACATTGAACTTTGAGCCTCCATCTTGGCAACCACAGGAAGAAAATATATGCTTGTAAATGTGAAGAAAAGATAGAAAAAAAAAAGAATCAACCAGTATGCAAGCAGCTTCAATCCGTAAAATGAATGCTATGCTCCAAAGCTTCGATTATGTTGCTTAATGTTCCTTTTTTCCCCCAGATGCATACTGTGTCCACCAAACTGAACTTTATGTTCACTGCTTTACTAAAACAAGCTCATTAAAAAATGTTAAAATTGGTACAAATGAAAAATTGCAGCTGTTTTGATAACATAAGGAGTGGCAGCAAAAGTCACATGATCATTCAAGCTCATGAAAAGCTGCAGTGATTCAAGCATGCACTGAATTAACACAAATGAGATCAAAGCTCTACTTAGTGGATTCCTCTTAAAAAAACAATATTAAAGAGCAACACCATCTACATACCCAATCTTGGACTTTTGCTTGGACTTTGAGGAGGGTACAATGCAGGCCTTCCTACAGGCCTTGTCTTTGGACCTGGCCTTGCGATTTCCTTTATGTTCATAATCCCGATGGGCCTTGAACTGAGCAGAAGAGCTGGGGAAGCACTCTGGACTCATGACCCGCGGAATGTTCTTCTCTCCTCTCTGTCGGGCCTTAGCAATAGCTTCTGATATTATCCTATTTGCCTTTTCCTGCTTGTCCTGCAGAGGTGACTCCATCTGATGATGCTTCCTTCGTTTTGTCCTCTTCTCCGATGAGGAGCTGGGTGAGGACGAAGATGATGATGAAGAGGAGGAGGATGAAGAACTCTTCAGCGTGGGACTGAGGACTCGTACCTGGCTACCAGGACCATTGCTGTTCTTTCGAGGCTATGGAGAGGGACAAGAAGTGATTATGGTACTTGTTCCAAAAAAACATTTCATACAATCAATGGCTGTAGGCATAATAAGAAAAAAGTCAAGTTACACTAATTTTTGTTAAAGGGAAAGTATAACCTAGAGAGAAAACTGATGAAGCCCATGTGTTTTTGGCAAATTAACACCTAAAAACTACAGTGAACATACTAAGTGAATCATATGTGTTTGAACTTTATTCAAGCACATAAATGCAACACTTATTGTTTACTACAATTAGGGATGTCCCGATCAGATACTCAGTATCGGTATCGTGGCAGATATGGCCATTTTTTGAAAATTGGGTAGAATCGGATTTAGTCATGTGATCGGGCCAATCCAGTTTTCGCGACAGTTTTCATCATCATCATACTTTACAACTGCCGTTAAGAAGTCAAGATGCAGGCAAATATGAAATCATGTCCTCAGTGTGGGAACACTTTTCAATGGAAAACAATGATGCTGAAACTGGATGTTTCTCGTGGTGGGAACAGCAGGGCTCGCTTAAATACTACCAACCTTGTCACTTGGAAAGAAATAAAGAAATAATGTTATTGGATCGGTGTCGAAAAGACTAATCATTAAAAAAAATCGGATTGTTTCGGGAGCCAAAAAATCTGGATCGGGACATCTCTAACTACAATCACCAAGTTCAAACTGCAAACACTTCTTTCTTTGTAAAGAAAACGCATATCACATAACAACTTGTGTTTTATAACACATAAGTAATGATGTAAGAGAAGAAGCATAAATTATTTAAAATGTCATAAGCATGATTTCTAATAAAGTCATAAAGAATTTGCAGTTGATGAGTATTGAATCTGTTTTCTTTTTTTTAAAAAATGAGCAAAACAGCTAAATGTAAAAAGTGATGACAAACTTTCAGTTTACGATACAGCATTCTCCACAGCACTGTGACCAAGGAAAGTATTGCTCACTCATTCAGAAAGCCTTCTGAAGGCTGTCAGACAGCAGAGCATGTTACTGTTCCTTTCTCTGATGTTGTGGGTGGGGGGTGGACCTGTATCACCCTGCCTGTTTCTCACTCCAACTCTCAGAACACAATCAAAGTCTGCTAGTGGAAATTCAGCATGAGAAAGCCTGGTGTTTTAAATCAAGACTTACTTTAGAATCAGGTGGGCACCATGTGACACAAGAAGTCTGACACAAAATGAATTCTTTTGAGTTGGGTAAAAAGGCAAAGTAAAACACTCGCCTCTTGTAGCAGGTTATGCTGTGCCTTGCAGACATAAATAATCCATCCTGCCTGATACATGATAATATGTGAATAATAGATGCCGGGACTGCAGTTATGCTCACACAAGCGCCTTGTTGTGGGCCAGTATAAAGAGAACCCATAAATGGATGACCTAATCTAAAAATGTGTTGCGTACGTTTACACGGCTCAGGCTCGACTGGTTGCTCCCTCCCAGCAGAATGTTAGCAAAATAAAATGAATTACTTGAACCTCAGAGACAAAGTGAAATGTGTGTGCACGTGTCTGTGTTTGTGTGGACGGGTTTTTCCTACAACGTGGGGAAAATTTTCCCCCGCAAAAAATGGCAGCCTCGTGGGGACCTGGCATTGGTCCCCACAGGTCCAAATGCAAATTACGGGTGTGGGGTTAGGTTTAGGACCAAGGTTTAGGTTAGTTTTAGGGTCAGGTAGGTACCTGTGAGGTTATTTTAGGGTAAGTGGTCAGTGTTAGGCTATAATGTCAAAAAAAATGAATGGAAGTCAATGAAAGGTCCCCACCGTGTTCAAGAACAAACGTGAGTGTGTGTGATTTCTAAATTCATTTGGAAAAAAGTGAGGAGAAAAAAAAGGTACACACACACACACACACACACACACACACAAACATGAGCTGCATTATGATTTTCACGTGTGTTACGCTGCTGAGGCTATTAGGAAAATAATTTACTGGATCATGCTGGAATGTTCTTATTCAAGTCATTGTTTAAAAAAAAGGAGGGAGGAGTTGAAAGTAACGTATAAGAGCAGAAGAAGAACAAGGCGACGGGAGGAAAGAAGTAGTTAAAAAAGAGAGAGAATATGAAAGCAGGTTTCTATCAGCGAGGGAGAGAGAGAAAAGATAAAATGCACCAAAACGAAGAGCACTGCAGCTGTGTAATACATCTATAAATAACTGAAATTACAGCCTGCCAGCACTGCAGTGATTTCAATCTCTCTAGCAGCACGCAGTCCCGGGCAAAACGGTGGGTACCATCACAGATGCTAAAAAGATAGAGTAAGCTCCATTTGGGTTGGACAGCTTTTCCTCACTCCCACCCTCAATTCCACATGTAGTGAGTTCTCTGGTGACTGACAGGCTCAACTCATGGAGGACAAACACACACACACACGCGCACACACGCACAACAGTGTACAGGAACTACAGAACCGGACAGCTATGATCAAAAGAAAATTGACAATGTGATGGAGGACACAAAAAGCCAGTGGGGTTGGGAAAAGAAAATAAATCTGCTGTGGCTCAATAAGGTCTCATACAGAAGAGAAAATGAATATGAAGCAGAGAAGGAAAAAAAAAAAGCAGCAATGAGTTCAAGATGGCGGCAGTGCAGCATGAGCCAGTAGCAGAGGAGGTTGTTCAGTTCCTGCCGGGCCCCTCCTCCTCCCCCTTGTCCCTCCTCCCTCCCAGCTCTCAGAGTAGCTCACTTACCCTTCCTCTTGGCCTCTTCACTGTAGACATGGTGTGTTTTTTTTTTCCTTCCTCTTTACTCTCCCTCTCCAACCGACTAACAAAAGCCTTGCCCTTTCACCGTGTTCTTTTTTCCTTCTTCTTTCTGTTGCTCACTCACTATTTCTCTTACAAACACTCTTCGCCTTCCCACAGTCGGTTTCTCGCACTCTTCCTCGGGCTGTTGTGTCCCCCCCTCCTCCCCTCCCGCGCTCCTCGTTTTCCTTCCCTCCTCCTTCCCGGTCAACTCTTCTCCTCGGGCGAGATCGAGAGTGTTGGAACTGTTTCGTCGCCTCCTCCCCCAGCGGGCAGGGCTCAAGAGGAGCGCATGGGAGCTCTCGTTCGCTCTCGCTCTCTTCCTCCCTCGTTCGTCTCGTCACAGGGTGATGAGGGAGCAGCGCTGTTGGCGGTAGAGGAGGTGCGTGGCAGTCCAGGAAGCCCTCATTGTGCTGTTGCGTGCCGCTTCGCTGTCGTCCGGCTTCAACCTTACTCCCTCTCTGCACGCGTGTGTCACCGTCGCCTTACCCTGCCTCCTCTCTCCTCCCCCCACTCATTGATTCTTCTTGCCTCTCGCGTGTGCTCTCAGTGCCGCTCTCGGTCCTCCTAATTCTTCCTTATTGCTCTTTCCGCTTTGCCACCTCTCTCTGAGCTTCTCCTCGTTCTTTTCCAACAGCCAGACCAAGGTAGGTTACTTCTACGATCACCCAGAAACATAACCTTTGTTTGATCTTTCTCACTTGTTTGGTTGATTGGCTTTTCCTCCTTTTTCTCCCCACTTATCTTTTTCCTGGTTGTTGCTTGCTGCCCTCTCCTCCGCCTGGCTGGGGTGTGTGTGGCGAGCTCAAGACTCTGGCAGCCTGAGCGGTGGAAAATGAAAGCACAAAGCAGCAAAATGCATCAGCATGAATATTAGAGATGTCGTTAAAACCCAGACTCGTTTTTCCTCTCGCTCTCTCACTCACCCCCGCTCTCTCTCTTTGTAAGGAAGTAGGCCAGCAGATGGTGCTAGCAGTTATTACATTAACTTTCACAACTTAACCCCCTAAGTACTGGATTTCTCCCACGCTACAGATTGGCAGATTCAGAGCTTTTGGAGTCCTTGTGCTTGGCTGCTGCCTCTGATGTGCTGATTTATTCAGAGATCATCCAAAAGAGCTGAATGAACACAAAGAGAAACGAATTCCCAAAGGATAAAAATACATCACAAAAGCAGAAAGTTCAAGACTTTACGAAACACAGCAGAATATGGCAGTCTTCCTTCTTCCTAACCATTATGAACACAGAGCATTTCAACTGCAGCATTAAGTTGTAGCTGGGTCACAATAAAAAAAGGGAAAAGACTAAACAAAAACCAAAAACACCAAAAAGGAAGCTGGGACGTGTCCAAAATATATTGGGAGCCAGATTCAATCTTGAAGAGTGAAAATGTCTTTCAAAGAACTCTGACACTACGATACCGAGGCCATGTGCACTGGCTGACACACGGTACTGGGAATTATTTAGTAACACACGTCTGGCCTGACGCCAGGAAGCAGTACTAGGTCAGCCCTGAGTTACAGTCCTGAGACACCCAATGAACGATGTTGTCCTCTCTACTTACTGCAAAGAAAATTTGCTGAACAGACATTTCTCCCAAATAACGTTTTGCTAATCTATTTTCCATTTGCTCAGTTTAGCCTGTCAGATTGACCACATTTCTAATTCATTCCATGCATTGCTTGTAAGATTAAAAATAAATTGTGATCTACTAGTCAAAATATTAGATCATTTTCACATACAGCACATTGCTGCATACCTCCTGGCTAGTCAATCGGACTAGAGAGTTACTGATTTAAAGAGATCAGTAAATGCAACACAACATGAACAGCAAGTCAAAACCTCAACTTTGCATGTATATATCAAATGTCATTCTAGTAGTGGTTTTATAAAGAGTTAGCCTCTGTTTAACCAACTCTCTTATCAGCTTTCCATACTCCAACTTATGTAACTAATTGAATGTAGTTCTATTCTAATCCAAGTCTCACTGTACAACTTGTGAGTTTATTTAGATATRGTGTGAAATATGTGGGTGAGCATATGCAACTAAAAGCACAATATGCCTTTTACATTGCTAGTTTTAAAGGCAAACTCGAGTGGTGTGGATAAAGTATCTCTGTACTGTTTTGTGTTGTTTTACATCTTCCAGCTTTTGTATCTCCTACAGAGACAGAGATAGCTTCCTGGTGTGCAACAGCAACGGCTGTTCTTGCTCAATGTGAGCTGTGGCAGCAACAGG